CACTGATGATATATACATAGTACTATGCTAAAGAGGCATATCAAATTTTACTACATTTCGTTTTCGTAGTATGTAGAGAAATGACTTTGTAAGTTTTAGCGAAAAAAGTGAAAGTGTACATAATTCAAGTCTCTCTGGGTTTTTTATTGAAGGATATGTGGGGTTTTACTTATTTAAAGTGCGTATTAATTGGTTAGGACAGCAAAAAAACAATGTATGAAATTTAAAAGTAAAACTATATTTAAACTAAAAAAACAAGAATAGTATATTTGAATATTTATATAATGTATTTTAAGTAATTATTAATATTTCAGTTTTTGTTCGTATTATAAATAGTTGCATATAAAAAGAATATAAAGAGTAAGACTCTGTTGTTATGGTAGCCCACGAAAATCTGCTTGTAAAATCTCTTTGAGAGGTGGTAAACGTCTCTTGTTCATCGAAATTAACGAGTGGCTCCGGGACATAGTCTCAGTCGTTCCAGTAGTACTCAGTCGTACCAGAGTAGTACTCTCAACATCATCAATGTATAGATAAGCATTGATCAAGTCCTTAAGGAAGATATTGTAGTTATTAGTATTGTTCTCTGCTTCTCCAGCAGAGAATATCAAGTTCTTTAGTATTTTCGACATACTCTCTTTATCCATGTATGCCATAGATGGGTTCTTCCTTATAGTAACGCACCATTCTATTAGAGTGCTTTTTCCGCTTTGTTAACTATCTATATTAATTTAGGTTACTATTCAGAGGAGTAATATTGGATTGAGTATAAGTTTCATCCGTAATTTTTACTAATATCAATATTCTAAGTGTTAGCAGCAAGGGACAAGAGTTTTTAATATTTCCAATATTCCATATTTGATTTTCGGTGTTTATTCTATTCCTTTCAAAGAAACGCTTTTGTATAGCTTTTGAGACAAGATCTTAAGTTCTTTTTACATAATATATATATCGATATGCATACTTTTTTCACATCTGCTGTTTAAAACACATGTGTTGTGCTGTGTCTTGAGAATAGTATAAATTATTTTTCAGGTTTCTGGATTATATGTAGTCTAGATAATCGCAACGTAAACAATAAGAGTGAGTTTAACTATTCGTAAAAGCTATTTATTCTATTATAGATTGAATCAGTATATTTTTTGAATCTAACATCGTATTCATCGTAACAAAGTTCTCAACAGGCTTCTGCATGAAATCTCTTGAAAGGAAAGAAGACCTTTCTATGCTTGACTTTGGTCAGAATATAGTTATAAGCCAAGTAGTTTCTTGTATCTCATAAATGTGGGCATGAACTGTAGCTCTACTCGTATTTATAACGTGGACTTTCTATTTTCTTGTTCCTTATACTTAATATATGTAGCTTGTTATACTTATATTAATATGTTCAAGATATAGACGTGTGCATATAGTACTCCTTACATATAAACATATCTATTCACAGTAACTACCCGAACTGCAGGTCCGTTCATGACGTCGTCGAACTTAATTTTTTGTACATTTTGAGTTCTCGTGATATATGGTTAATGTGTTCAAATTTTATAAAAAAAAGTAATCAATAATATATATCAGTGATAAATTAAATTAAAAAACAGTGCAGTGTGTCAGTTTAATAGGAGTTTAAATATTGAATCATAATGAATTTTTTGCAAAAGCCCATTAACATTTTTGAACAAAAGTACGGGTTTCAAATTCTAATAAATATTTTCCTAATGTGTTGGATGAACTCAGTGGCAGAAGTTTATATATTTTTGAAATTAATTCACTTGTATCAGTAATTAAAAATTATTTGTTAGAAAATTTATTCAAATATTGGTTATAGTTCTTTAATGGTTATTAAAACTTTAAATGAATACTTTAAATTTACTAGCAATCTTTCAACGTATGCTTAATAAATTCGACATTATCTTTTAGAGCGAATGACTTTTCTGAAGTCACCAAATCACTGCGATTATCTGAGTTTAATTGTCTTTAATTTATGTCAAGCTATTTTGCATTTAAATGCCACACAATATAGAATTAATATATAATACGATAGTATAAATTTAATGTCAAGTTAATCCTTCTTTTACATTTCATATGGGTATTCATATATTCAAGGCACTTCTCTACTTAAAGGAACAAAAACAAAAATCAACAAATTGACAAATCTAATGAAAGTAAGGATTTGCCGTAATCCTCAATGAGATCGCGTAGCTTCGAAATAAAACAAAATAATAGAGGTTTGGTTTATTTGTGAAAGGAAGAAAACTAATTCAAAAAGTAAAGATACAAGATACAAATTGTGCGATTTAGACAGAAACTGTAATAAAAAGCAATTTAATGAAAATTGACAAACAAAATCGTATTAATTTGAAGAAAGTTTATTAATTAGAACTTAATACTATATATAACATATATGGAAAGTTTAAAAATAAATTTTTGTTGAAATAATTAAAATTTAATGTTAATAAAAGGCAGGCAATAATTAACATCATTGTGTGTATTTATATTAAAGCTTAATAGTCTTTAATTCAAATTTAATATTTATTTTATTTAATTTATAGTTAAGTATAAAGTATATAATTATTTCACATTAACTCCTTTACATTTTCATATTAGAAAATAATTGTGAATTTCGCAGACTTAGACTTCGTCGGCACGTATTTGGTGCGCAAACAAATTACTCAAAGTTTAATGTACACATTATTCTTGAAGATAAACATTCAAAGTCAATTAATGTGATATTAGATAAAGGCATGGCTGTAAATTTTCCTATTCGCATATTCGGCGTTTCTTTATATATATATATACATATATACACATGATGTGATTAAGGCACACAAAGGATATAATTAGTAGCAATTTTATTGTTACGACAGATAAAGGAAGATAGTGAAGCGGGGAGAAAATAAAAGAAGTTAGACGCAGACAAGAGATAAGTCAACTTAAAGGATAAAGTTGCAATCCTGAAGGCAATATATGTCGTTATTTTGGGTATAGAAAACAAGATAATGTATACAAGGATAGCAATAAGTATATGGCTTATTTTTTTTGTGCAATGCCACAATGGAAATTATATCCAGTGAAGTTAAAAACTACTTTCTTGTCTAGGAAAAAAAAAAATATAAAAGTCATATCGATTAATTTTTATTTCAAAATTGAAATTATCATTTCTTTTTATTTAATATAAAAATATTGAACTTTTTATGGAAAACCATTCCTTTCGTTCAAGGTTTAGAATCATTTAATACATATATTTAAAGAATTTTATTTAATATAAAATTCTTAAAATTTATATACATAAATAAATAAACAAAAAATATAAAAATTTTATTGATTAATTTTTATTTTGGAATTTAAATTATCATTTCTTTTTATTTAATATGAAAATATTAAATTTTTTATGGAGAACCATTCCTTTCGTTAATGGTTTAAAATCATTTAATATATATATTTAAATAATTTAATTTAATA